AAAATGTGGCACATATACACCATGGAATATTATGCAGCCATCAAAAACGATGAGTTTGTGTCCTTTGTAGGGACATGGATGAACCTGGAAACCATCATTCTCAGCAAACTGACAGAAGAGCAGATCAAACACCACATGTTCTCACTCATAGGCGGGTGTTGAACAATGAGAACACATGGACACAGGGAGGGGAGCATTACACACGGGGTCAGTTGGGGGGAAATAGGGGAGGGATGGTGGGGGGTGCGGAGTTGGGGAGAGATAGCAAGGGGAGAGATAATGCCAGATGTAGGTGATGGGGAGGAAGGCAGCAAATCACACTGCCATGTGTGTACCTATGCAACAATCTTGCATGTTCTTCACATGTACCCCAAAACCTAAAATGCAATAAAATAAATGGGAAAAAAAAAAAAAAAGCCAGGTGCAGTGGTTCACATCTGTAATCCCAGCACTTTTGGAGGCCAAGGAGGGCAGATCACCTAAGGTCAGGAGTTCAAGACCAGCCTGACCAACATGGAGAAACCCTATCTCCACTAAAAATACACAATTAGCAGGCGTGGTGGTACCTCCCTGCAATTCCAGCTACTTGGTAGGCTGAGGCAGGAGAATCCCTTGAACCAGGAGGAGGAGATTGTGATGAACTGAGATCGTGCAATTGCACTCCAGCCTGGGCAACAAGAGCAAAACTCTGTCTCAACAAAAAAAAAAAAGGAAAAATTACTGATAATGGTAAAATATGGCATCATATGGCCCTTGACATGATGTACTGAGGATATAACATCATCCATTACTCCTGCCAAAAAACCACAACCTAAATCTAATCATTAGGAAAGAATCAGAAAAAGCCAACTTGAGGAATGCTACAAAACTGGCCTGTATTCTTCAAAAACTGTCACTGCCATAAGACTGTAGAGAAAGTCTAAGCAACAGTTCCAGACTATAGGATACTAAAGAAAGAGATCAACTAAGTTCAATGTGTGAGCCTAGTTAAATTCTGGATGGACAATGGAGAACTGTTTCTTTTTTCTTTCTTTTTTATTTTTATTTTTATTTTATTTTTATTTTTATTTTTATTTTTTTTGAGACAGAGTTTCGCTCTTGTTACCCAGGCTGGCTCACCGCAACCTCCGCCTCCTGGGTTCAGGCAATTCTCCTGCCTCAGCCTCCAGAGCAGCTGGGACTACAGGCACGCACCACCATGCCCAGCTAATTTTTTGTAGCTTTAGTAGAGACGGGGTTTCACCATGTTGACCAGGATGGTCTCGATCTCTTGACCTCGTGATCCACCCGCCTCGGCCTCCCAAAGTGCTGGGATTACAGGCGTGAACCACTGCGCCCAGCTCTTTTTTTTTTTTTTTGAGACGGAGTTTCACTCTTGTCTCTCAGGCTGGAGTGCAATGGCACGATCTCCGCTGACTGCAACCTCCACCTTCTGGGTTAAAGCAATTCTCCTGCCTCAGCCTCCCAAGTAGCTGTAATTACTTACAGGCATCTGCCACCATGCTAGGCTAATTTTTTGTATTTTTAGTAGAGACAGGGTCTCACCACGTTGGCCAGGCTGATCTTGAACTCCTGACCTCAGGTGATCCACCCGCCTCAGCCTCCCAAAGTGCTGGGATTACAGGTGTGAGCCACTGCACCTGACCTTCTTGTTTTTAATATAGAGACGGAGGTCTCATTCTATTGCCCAGGCTGGAGTGCATTGGCATGATCATAGCTCACTGCAGCCTCATACTGCTGGGCCCAAGACATCCTCCTGCCTTAGCCTCCCCCATAGGTGGGGTTATAGGCACACACCACCACACTCAGCTAATTTTTTATTTTTTAATTTTCTGTAGAGACAGGGTCTCTCTCTGTTGCTCAGGCTGGTCTTGAACTCCTGGCCTCAAGTGATCCTTCTGCATAGGCCTCCTAAATTGTGAGGATTACAGACATGAGCCACCGTGCCCAGCTGATTGTATTTCTATAAAATACATTATTTGGGACAAATGAAAAATCTGAAAATCAACTGTATATCAGATAAGAGTTAATCAATGTTAAATGTCCTGAATTTGATAATTATGCTTATATAATTATACTGCATTATGTAAGACAATTTCTTTATCCTTAGGAGAAACATTTAGAGGTAAATGGTCATGATATTCAAACTTACTCTTAAAGCATTCAGTGAAAATAGTAATAATTAAATATATATTAGGCTAAACTACACTAAGTCATTAATATTCCACCAGTTTTGACCTACAAAAATAAAAACTTCATATAGCATAATCTAAAATACAGAAAAAGAGTAATAAACAAACACAATAAAATGTTAACAACTGACAAATGTGGGTGAAAGGTATATAGAATCTTATAACTTTTCCGAAAGTATAAAATATTTCCAAAACAAAAAATTTTTAAAAGGTCACATAAAGGCAACTGTTGACATCAACAGGCTGAGAATAAACATATAGCATGAAAGTTCAGGTGCAGTGGCTCATGCCTATAATCCCAGCCGAGGCAGGAGGATCACTTGAGCCCAGGAGTTCAAGACCAGCTTGGGCAAAATGGCGAGACCCGTCTCTACAAAAAATACAAAAAATTAGCCAGGCATGGTGGCACACCATACACCTGTAGTCCCAGCAACAGGAAGCTGAGCTGAGGAAGTCGAGGCTACAGCGAGCTCTGATTGTGCCACTGCACTCTAGCCTAGGCAACAGAGTGAGAGCCTGTCTCAAAAACAACATGCATACACACAAACAATAAAGTGACCACAATTACTTAAATTTCAGTCAACTGTCTACAACTGCCCACTTTCATACATATCTACCAAATCTAAGTCAACAATCTATTGCTTTTCCCTAAGGGAAAAAAAATAATAATCTCCAGACTTAGAAACTTACTTTCTGACACAGAGCTGAGGGCTAAAGTGGTTTCGGAGGCAATGACGACTAACGTGTCTGCAAGACAAGAGAATCAAAAATCAATATACATTTAGAGATTAACTTTAGTGTATCAACTTCTATTTTTGTACTATATTAGACTTAGGGGTGAAGGGATGGATTAACAATAAGATAAAAACAATGACAGTATCAGTGTCCTTGATATCATTTTCCAGTTGAAAAGCTACAACTCTAAGTAACTTGAAAATAATCAGAAATGTTACCTAAAAATGCAAAATAAAGTTTGTCTTTTGTTTTTGAGATGGAGTCCCACTCTGTCGCCAGGCTGGAGTGCAGTGGTGCAATCTCAGCTCATTGCAACCTCCACCTCCCAAGTTCAAGGGATTCTCCTGCCTCAGCCTCCCAAGCAGCTGGGATTACAGGCCCGTGCCACCATGCCTGGCTAATTTTTGTATTTTTAGTACAGACAGGGTTTCACCATGTTGGCCAGGATGGTCTCGATCTCCTGACCTGGTGATCCACCTGCCTCAGCCTCCCAAAGTGCTGGGGGCCACCGTGCCTGGCTGCAAAATAAAGTTTTAATAAAACACAAATAATACAAGATAAAAGAATAAGAATAATTAGAGTTGGAAATGTTCAACAGAGAAATAGTGATTTTTTAAAAGCTAGGTCTTATAGGAGGTGAGGTATAACAGACAGAGTTAACAAAATAAAACAAAAACAGAATAATCCCACTGGTAACTGCAAGCGTATAGCTTAGCTTTAACAGAAACCTGCTACAAATGGATGAATTTAAAAGGCTGGGCCAGGTGCGGTGGCTCATGCCTATAATCCCAGCACTTTGGGAGGCTGAGGCCAGTGGACTACTTGAGCCTAGGAGTTCAATACCAGCCTGGACAACACGGTAAAACTCCATCTCTACAAAAAATACGAAAATTAGCTGGGTGTGGTAGTACATATCCAGAGTCCCAGCTACGCTGGAGGCTGAGGTGGGAGTATCACTTAAGCCTGGGAGGCAGAGGTTGAAATGAGCCAAGATCACACCACTGCATTCCAGGCTGGGTGACAGGGCTAGACCTTGTCTCAAAAAAAAAAAAAAAAAAAAAAAAAAGGTTGAAGACTGCAAGGGGTTTGTGAATAGGGCATCCTAAATATTAAACTAGGTCATTTCAGAAGCTAACATCAATCAAGCTCCAGATAACCTGAGTGAAGATTTCAACTCAAAAGTCTTTCATTGGATTGCAAATCCATATGAGAAAAAAAATTAAAAGGCAAAAAGTCTTTTATGTAATTATAATAATATGCAAAAAAATGGGAATGAAAAAATTTTTTTACTGATCCCATGAAAGTCTTCTACTTAAAAGTTGTTATTTTTGAAATGTATACACCAGTGCCAGAATTGCTTTTCAAGTCAAAAACTAAGACGTGCCCAGGCACTCTATCTAAGGAGAATTTCACTGATCCAAAGTTTACACAATACAGGTTTTACACCCCTACTCTAGAAAATTCAAAATCTGAGCCGGGCGCGGTGGCTCAAGCCTGTAATCCCAGCACTTTGGGAGGCCGAGGCGGGTGGATCACAAGGTCAAGAGATCGAGACCATCCTGGTCAACATGGTGAAACCCCGTCTCTACTAAAGCTACAAAAAATTAGCTGGGCATGGTGGTGCGTGCCTGTAATCCCAGCTACTCAGGAGGCTGAGGCAGGAGAATTGCCTGAACCCAGGAGGCGGAGGTTGCGGTGAGCCGAGATCGCGCCATTGCACTCCAGCCTGGGTAACAAGAGCGAAACTCCGTCTCAAAAAAAAAAAAAAAAAAAAAAAAAGAAAATTCAAAATCTGAAAACTCCATAACCCAAAACTTTTTGAGTACTTGACATGATGCTCAAAAGAAATGCACACTGGAGCATTTTGGATTTCAGCTTAGTGATACTCAACCAGTAAGTATAATGCAAATATTCCAAAATCTGAAAAAAATCCAAAATCCTAAATACTTCTGGTCCCAAGCTTTTCAGAAAAGGGATGTTCATGTATTATGAAAAACACATGACCATTATACACTTCAGTCACATCATTATATCAAATCTTTCCAAAAGCATTTAAGAAGGTGAATAGAGTGAATTTCTGAGACTAAAACTTAAAAATACGATTCTACAAAAGTTTATTGCATATGCACTATGTGCAAGACACTAGGAGGATACAAGATCTCACAAAGATCTAATGATCTTCTGAAAAAGCTCATGATGTCCCTCACACCATTGATATTAAATGCATAAACTTTTCAAAAGCTGTATGCTTCCGATTAGTACACTAGGAGGGCCCACTATTTGAAGGAAAAAAAAATCTAACCAACTTCCTTCTTCAGCTCTTCCCTCTTTACAGCTTTGAAGGAAAGAGGTGAATACAGACATTGTATACCCAAGGCTCCCAGAAAGAAGTGGGAACAAATCTCTTTCAATCAATTGAATTGTGACTCTGAAGTTGCAGGGCACGCATTCCTCACACCAGGCTAGGCCCAGTCACTCAGCTACCCAGCAAGAGTTTGCAGATGTGGGTTGGAATCTATGGCGTGCCCTCTCTGTCTAGTGCTATTGTTTCCCAGACAAATATCAGTGTAAACTTTCTACAAGGCCCTCACAGAAACTAGCTGTACAAATGCCATAACCTTATTTGAAATATGACAAAAGTAGTTATATACAGAGTTATATACAGAACTCTGTATTTTTAACTGACAAACCAGAACTTAGATTGTCTAGTTATTGTTGCTCCCTTCTAAATGCATTATACATGTCTCCCCAAAATGTAATCGCTGCTCAAATCATTTTTGAAACTCTTCTCTGGATTGGGGCAGCAAAGGTAATGTAAAAATAACATTAGAAAGTAAAAAATCAAGACTGAAATCTCAGAATAAGTTGTATAACTTCAGTGAGTCATTGAGCTTCAGCGTTTTCATTTATAAAATGAGACGGATAATACCTACCTTATTGGTTGCTGAGTGTACTGCACAAGAAAACATACAGGAAAGCATTGTCTAAACCAAAAAACACCACATATATATGTAATATATTATCACTGATCTCCCCACGGTCTTTAGAATTTGCATCACTTTCTCTTTAAAACCCTCAGTGGTAACAAGAATATCATCTACTGAAAATAAATTTGATTTCTGGGAAAAAATAAAAGTTATTCAAAGTCAAGTCTATGTGATCAAATTGAATTATACCAAATTTAGTCCAAAACAAGATGTGACTATAACATAATGAGTTTCTCTTATTATAGCCATACATTATATGACTTTTTGCCCAGGCTGGACTATAGTGGTGCGATCTTGGCTCACTGCAATCTCTGCTGCCTGGGTTCAAGCAATTCTCCCGCCTCAGCCTCCTGAGTAGCTGGGAATACAGGTGCCCCCCACCACGCCGGGCTGATTTTTGCATATTTAGCAGAGTTAAATTAATATATAAAGTTAATATATAAACTTGAATGACATGATGAACAATAATTTGTATACAAAAGTTCTGGTTAATGATTATTACCACTCCACTACCAAACTATAACCTAAGTCATCCTTGATTTCTTTTCTCTCACCCCATATATATGCATGGAATCATCCAACCTTACCATTAACATCTAGGAAGCTTCATTCCAATCCATTGCTATAATCTATATCCTCTTCATTTCTCACTAGGACTGTAACACGAGCTCCTGAACTAATCTCCCTAGCACCAATCTCTTACATACGATTCAATACCACCAACACTAATTTACTGAAAAGTAAATAAAATAAAATGGTTTCATCATTCTTCTGCCTAAAAATCTTTAACAGTTAATTTCTCACTGCTTACAGTATAAGATCCAAACTGTGGCAAACAATGCACTTTACAGTGTGGCCCAATCCAACTCTGGACCTAACCTCCCACAAATTCCTTTCAATCCCCTCTAATTTGTCACACTGAACATTACATCATGTCCAGATACAGCAAACCCCCTTTTGACCACATGCCTTTGCTCATGCTGTTCTCTGACTACAGCCTCCCTCAGAGCCTGTTAAACTCATCCTTCAAAACCCCTAAGCAACAGGCACAGTAGCTCATGCCTGTAATCCCAGCACTATGGGAGGCCAAGGTGGGTGGATCATATGAGGTCAGGATATCAAGACCAGCCTGGCCAACATGGTGAAACCATGTTTCTACTAAAAATACAAAAATTAGCTGGGCATAGTGGCACTCACCTGTAATCCCAGCTACGCAGGTGGCTGAGGTAGGAGAATCTCTTGAACCCAGGAGGCAAAGGTTGCAGTGAGCCAAGATTGTACCACTGCACTCCAGCCTGGGTGACAGACCAAGACTCAGTCTCAAAAAAAAGACCCAAAAATTAAAAAAAAAAAAAAAAATTCCTGGATAGCAAGATCACCACTTCTTTAGCCTTACTTGCTATATCTACCATGCTCTCACACTTGTTCATATCTATTAATATTTCTTACATTGTTTAATCTATTTATCTATTTATCTCCCTGCTAGACTTTGAGCTCAAGGACAGGACTGGAATAGTTTGGATCCATAGTACTTTTTTTTTTGAGATGGAGTTTTGCTCTTGTTGCCCAGACTGGAGTACAATGGCACAATCTCGGCTCACCCCAACCTCCACCTCCGGGGTTCAAGCGATTCTCCTGCCTCAGCCTCCCGAGTAGCTGGTATTACAGGCATGCACCACCATGCCCATCTAATTTTGTATTTTTAGTAGAGATGGGGTTCTCCATGTTGGTCAGGCTGGTCTCAATTCAAGGTCAGGCCTTGGATTCAAACACTACTTATAATAATGTAATAATGTCTGACACATAGAAGAAGCGAAAGAAAAAAGTTTGTGAATGAATGTGCTTATTTTAAAAAGCAGTCTCGGCCAGGCGCGGTGGCTCACGCCTATAATCCCAGCACTTTGGAAGGCCGAGGCGGGTGGATCACGAGGTCAAGAGATTGAGACCATCCTGGTCAACAAGGTGAAACCCCGTCTCTACTAAAAATACAAAAATTAGCTGGGCATGGTGGTGCGTGCCTGTAATCCCAGCTACTCAGGAGGCTGAGGCAGGAGAATTGCCTGAACCCAGGAGGCGGAGGTTGCGGTGAGCCGAGATCGCGCCATTGCACTCCAGCCTGGGTAACATGAGTGAAACTCCGTCTCAAAAAAAAAAAATACAACAATTAGCTGGGCATGGTGCGTGCCTGTAGTCCCAGCTACTCAGGAGGCTGAGGCAGGAAAATTGCTTAAACCCAAGAGGCAGAGGTTGCGGTGAGCTGAGATCACGCAATTGCACTCCAGCCTGGGCAACAACGGCGAAACTCCGTCTCAAAAAAAAAGCAGTCTCATAAATTGAGAGTTAAACCTTAATATTTAGAGGCATTTCACACACAGTATTTAATACAATTAGATAGTTAATGACTCTTGGTGACTTTGTGCTTAAGGAGCATGAACATTGTTAGACAGAATCCTAGCTGTCCTTAGCTTAGTTCTCTGACTCCTTGGCTTTGGCAAGTCATTCCCTGACTGATTGCCAATGGTTTCTGTTACTTGGCTGGTTGTTCATCTCTGGCTGGTCCCTGAACTGTTTAGGGAATATACAAAATATACAGCATATATTCGAAAACCATGACAATACAATACTCTGATAACTAATAATTAGACAAGCATTAAACATATTTATATGGGGGGAATGGGAAGAATTGGTAAAGGATACAAAATTTCAGTTAGACAGGAGGAATAAGTTCAAGAGATCTATTGTACAACTACACAGTACAATTATTACGTTATTAGATTATTGTTAATCATAGTTAATAACAAGGCACTGTGTACTTGAAAATCACGAAGAATGAATTTCAAGTGTTCTCCCCACAAAGATGCAATACATATGTTAATAGCTCCATTTAGCATACACGATTTTTCAAAACATGTTTTACACCATATATACAATTTTCAACTGCCAATTAGAAGTACATTAATAAAAATTTTTTAAAGTTTAACCAAAAATAAAAATAAAGGCCAGGCACAGTGGCCCATGCCTGTAATCCCAGCACTTTGGGAGGCCAAGGCAGGTGGATCACAAGGTCAGGAGTCCAGCCTGGCCAAGATGGTGAAACCCAGTCTCTACTAAAAATACAAAAATCACCCAGGCGTGGTGGCAGGCACCCATATTCCCAGCTACTCGGGAGGCTAAGGCAGGAGAATCACTTGAACCGGGGTGGCAGAGGTTGCAGTAAGCTGAGATCGCACCTCTGCACTTTAGCCTGGGCAACAGAGTGAGACTCCATCACAAAAAAAATAAAAATAACAGAAAAGAAGACCCCCCCCCCAAAAAAAAAACAACAAAAAAGTTTAACCAATATTTCTCTTAAGTGGGCCCAAGTTATTGCCGTTGTCAACACAAATGAGGAAACCACAATCATAGAATCAATGACCTTGACTTGTCCAAAATAAATGTAGAACTAGAAGCCAGCTCCTAGGATTTCTCAGAAGGTATTTTCCTTTGAGGTTAAATCAGAACATTATGAACAGTTTCAGATCCCTCTGGTAAAATGGAATTAGACTGGAAACTTCTATCAAGAAAAAAAATGTAATTCCTCATTTCTCCTCCAAAAACAAAAAAAAAGCCCTTATGAGAAATAGAGGTGCCCTTCCCATGAGAGCTTCAGATTGCCACTAATGAAAAATACATCTTTCTTGGCATTGAATCCTAGTATGGACAGCGCTATACAACTCAAATGATACTGTATGGATACACTTAATGAGTATAATGATCCTCAGCTTGTAAATACTAACCCCAAAACTCCTATAATGAACTGTTTGGGACAAATATGATCATTTCAAACGAAATGTTAATTCTACCAAAAGCCCCTAACAAAATATATCAGAGAATTCAAAACCATTCAATTATGGTCAAACCATCTGGAATAAAGGAGGCAGCACTAGCAAAAACAAGCCTTGGCATACCTCAGAAAGAAGACACATATGGAGATGAAAAACAGGGAGAAAATGACGGATTAAGATAACCCTGATTTCAACTCCAAGAGGAATCATTTTGTAACTGAAAAAAACTAAACAAAGTCCCTCTATTTTTAAACTGGGTGACTGAAGTGGAAAGAGAAATGAGAACACATTTGGGGAAATCAGGGATTGAAATCTCAATAGCATTGAAGCTAATTTTCCACAACAAATAATTTCCAAAAATAGGGCTGGCACAAAACTGTACTGGCATTTGTACCAGGAGTGCCTAAAGGCGCTAGTCTAGTCGCTGTGAGTAGAGAGGTTGAGTAGAGAATGAGACCTATATAGCAGAATGTTCAGAATGAAAGAAAATCTAGGGTATTTCTCTGGACAACTAACTCATATTTTAGAGAAAAACTGGGACACTCACTTTCTCTCCCAAATTAAAAGATGCACTAAAAATGAATCCCCTGTACTGCTTTGGGGCAGCAGAGGACCGCCCTGGGTGCTAATGCCAATCGCCACCCCAGTAGGGGTCCAGGCACCCTTTGCCAGTGGCCCGCTGGGAACGCTGACCGTGCCCCTTACTGCCGGGAGCAGCCAGTGTTTGACGGCATTAGAAGCAAACGCAAAGTACACCAGGAACTCTCTCTCCGAAGCTAAATGTCTAAATACGCTCTCGAAATCGTAGGACCCGTGGGTGGCTGACCTCGACGTTATTTTCTCAGAGCTCGGCTCTGGGTGCAGGCACGAGAGCAATTTGCGGAAGAAGTACTAGAGGAGGTGGAGAAAACAGAAGGGGCGAGAGCCGCGCGCCCCTCGATAGGGAGTCAGTGACCCCGAAGCCCTACGGAGCGCACTGGAGCTGCTGGCGGGGGACTGGAAAACGGGTCGCTACGATTCGCGAGCGTTTGGCCGCCACACCCATGGGTCCTCTCCCCGCCCAGGCACAGGGTAAACACTTGTCAGCAAAACGTGAGGGACCAGTTCAGGTCTCCGGAGGGCCGCAGCCACCAACTCCCAGCCCCACACGAAAGTCACCTCAGCAAGAACGCCGCCATCTCGGGTTCCGGTCTGGACGGAAGTGACGTCAGGTTGCCCCGCCGCCGCAGGGTGGAGGCGCGCGGGCCGGGGTTTGGGTGTCAGGTGACTAGTCTCTAGAAGGCTGCGGAGCGTCTCCGCTCATCTCTCCGCAGATGGTTTGCTGGTTGTTTTCTGGTTCTTTGGTCTCCTCCCCTGCCTCCTTCCGCTCACTTCTACCGGAATTTGCCAGGATTTCGGCAGAAACGCCGCTGGCTCAAAATCTGCAGTCTATGTTCCACCGGCGTGCATATTCCTTTTGTATCCCACTCCCGAACAGCGAGCGCCGGACTTGTTTAGAGCCTTCCTTAAGGGCTTAGCTGTCTGTTGTACTCCCTCTCCCTCCTAGGTCGGCCTGAAAACGTCGTGGTTGGCCGGTTCAGACACCCAAGAAAAAAGATACTTTGGGCTCCTTCCTGTTCTAATGTGAAGCTTTAACCGGAGAGATACATAAATTGTGATCTAAGTTGGGGAGTGTGTAAAGGGGCCTCGAGAAGACCTTGCGGACCACCATTCCCATGAACGCGGAGCCTCGTCTAACCATCTGGATCAGACCCCACAATTCCTGGGTTTGAGCTGCCACATGAACCAGGCGCCCACTAGCCGAGGACAATGCTGTCTTGTTCCTTATTTCAACGCTGTGTGGGTGACACCCACAGTTAGAAGAACCTGGAGTGAGGGGGAGAACACGCTTTGATTTATATATATATATAGGAACCCAAGCCCCAAGCACAGGAATCAACTGACGACCACTCAAGACTGAAGAAAGAAGAGCAAGTGAGAAAGGAAGGGAACAGAGTGCAAAAGTTCTTGAGTGGTTTGTGGGGAGCAGGGTGGAGAAGAGTTAAAAGGACAGCCCAGAACAAAAATTTTTAGTTTTATTACTACAAAAAACATAATTATATTAATATTCAGATCTTATGTATATTTAAAATCCCTGCACTTCAGGATTTAAATAGCACAAATTTACTTATTTCTGCATCAAATGCATAATACTATTTTGCATTTCTATAATGCTTGACAAAGAAAGCACATTCATACGCTTTAGGATTGGAAGAGGTTCTCTAATCCAAGCTGGGATCTTCTCTGCAACACCCCTGACAGCTGATCTTCAAGACTCTGCTCCCACACATTTAATGATGGGTACCTCAAAAAACAAGTTTTATTTAGTGAACAATTTATTCATTAGAAAGACATTTTAAATACAGCTTTGTGCTGTCAAACTTCCAGTCATTGATCCTACCTTCAGCTCTCTGGAGCTTCACATTAACCCAGGGGATGCCTCTTTCACTCAGCTGTTTTTTTTGTTTGTTTGTTTTTTGTTTTTTGAGACAGTGTCTCACACTGTCAATCAGGCTGGAGTACAATGGCACGATCTCCACTCACTGCAACTTCGTCCTCCCAGGTTCAAGCGCTTCTCCTGCCTCAGCCTCCCGAGTAGCTGGGATTACAGTCATGCACCACCGTGCCAGGCTGATTCTCTGTATTTTTAGTGGAGACGGAGTTTCACCATGTTGGCCAGGCTGGTATCAAACTCCTGACCTCAAGTGATCTGCCCGCCTCGGCCTCCCAAAGTGCTGGGATTATAAGTGTGAGCCACCGCTCCCAGCCCAATAGGCTCTTTAAATATTAATAGTTTCATTTAGCATGTAGGTATGGACTTTTCTTCAGTCTGTGAAAAGTTCTGTAGGAGGTTCAAAGCTACAAACGTTTATATTGTCCCCAAGAAGGCTATAGCCTTAGCGGGATCAATAAAGAAATGCAACAAAGAAAGTAGCAACAGCCCCTTGAAAACAGTGTAGATAAAAGGGGTGGTTAGTGTTAGGGTCACAGCAAGGCAAGCCCATAGACCCCCTTCCTGTTCTCACATGCTGAGCCAAGCTCATAACAAAAACAGCCTCAAGCCTTGTAAACAGGGCACCTCAGTTCCAGGATGTGGTGGCCGCACCAGCTCTCAAACCCAGGATGTTAACCCGATTAAGCAGAATGTCAGCCCCTGAGAACCAAGATGCACTTTATCTTAGAATAGCACCCCACTACCTGCAAACCCCCTATATAACCCACATAGTCTGTAAGCCAGACTGCTGCCTTCACTGCCTGTGGTAAGGCAGCAGCCTGGCAGTTTGAAATAAACTTGCTAAACCTGACCCTGCGTCTGCCTCTCTATCCTTTTGGTCAACCTTACAGTTAGATAAGGAAAAAATGATTACTTACAGTTGGGAGGTGGAGTTAGGTGGAAATTTTGGAGGGGCAGAGTTTTGGGTTTTTTGTTGTTGATGTTTACTTTGAATTGCTGTTTTATAGAAATCTTGACTACAACATCCTGTAAATATTTGTCAATGATGATAATTTTGCCTGTGGACTTCATAAGCAATCCCATATTTAGAATTCCACAACCCAAATCTGATACTAATGACCAAACCCACCAGGACTGTGGCCTAATGAGATCCCAGGAAGGTACCAGGACACCGTTCCCTTACGTGGGCGGGTCTGCAGTGGTCTCATATTGGGAATAACAATGACCACCCCACTCAAATTAACCTCTAGAGGTCAGGCACAGTGACTCACACCTGTAATCCCAGTACTTAGGGAAGCCAAGGCAGGAGGATCACTTGAGTACAGAAGTTCAAGACCAACCTGAGCAACATAATAAGAACCCCGTCTCCAAAAGAAATTGAAAAATTAGCTGGGTGTGGTGGGGCCTGCCTGTAGCTCAGCTAATCTGGAGGGTGAAACAGGAAGATCGCTTGAGCCTGACAGATTGCGGCTGCAGTGAGAGCAATGATCACACCACTGCACTACAGCCTGGGCCACAGAGCAAGACCTTGTCTCTGAAAAAAAAAAAATTTTTTTTAACTAGCTGGATGTGGTGGCATGCTCCTGTAGTGGTCCCCAGCTACTTGGAAAGCTGAGGTATGAGGATTGCTTGATCCTCAGAGGTCAAGGCTGCAGTGAGCCATTATGCCACTGCATTCCAGCCTGGGCAACAAAGCAAGACTGCCTCAAGAAAACAAAAAAACCTTAGCTCTGGTTATGTAGACATTCCTCTTGCTAACTCCACCCTAACACCAACACCTTCAGATTCTCATGATGTACCAAATTGAATTCACCCTCTTTCACCTGTCATTTAAGGCCTTTCACAGACTGGCTTTGACTTTCCTGTCTGGTCTTGTTTTGACTATGTCACTTCAAGTTTCCCCAAATCAAGTCAAAATTAATGGCACAAGGTCTGCCCTGAATATATACAGCACATCACAAACCTATATAACACACGCACACAAACACACAACACGCACACACAACACACACACACACACATTCTCTCGCCTCTTTGTCCTTGCTTTTGCTGTTCTTCTTACATAACACACACACACACACACACACACACACACACACACACACTCACACACACACATTCTCTCGCCGCTTTGTCCTTGCTTTTGCTGTTCTATCTTCTGGCAACCTTTCTTTCCTCCCTTTCCAAAATGGCAGTCATCCTTCAAGGTTGGTTCATATCTAACATCACCTCCTAGACACAACTGTTCTTCCCTCTGAACTATTTAGTTATTTGTTTATTTATTTATTTATTTATTTTGAGATGGAGTTTCACTCTTGTTACCCAGGCTAGAGTGCAATGGCGCGATCTCAGCTCACCACAACCTCCGCCTCCTGGGATCAGGCAATTCTCCTGCCTCAACCTCCTGAGTAGCTGGGATTACAGGCACGCGCCACCATGCCCAGCTAATGTTTTGTATTTTTAGTAGAGACGGGGTTTCACCATGTTGACCAGGATGGTCTCGATCTCTTGACCTTGTGATCCACCTGCCTCGGCCTCCCAAAGTGCTGGGATTACAGGCTTGAGCCACTGAGCCCGGCCTGTTTATTTATTTATTTTTGAGATAGAGTCTCATTCTGTAGCCCAGGGTGGAATGCAGTGGTGCAGTCATAGCTCACTGCAGCCTTGATTTCCCAGGTTTAAGTGATCCTCCTGCTTCAGCCTCCCCAGTAGCTGGGATTACAAGCATGCGACAACATGCCCAGCTGATTTTTAAAAAAATTTTAGTAGAGACGAGGTCTCACTATGTTGCTCAGGTGGGTCTCAAATTCCTAAACTCAAGTGATCCTCCTGCCTGAGCCTTCCAAAGTGCTGAGATTACAGGTGTCAGCCACTGTGCCTGACATAAACTTCATTTATTGAATAAAGTTTGTTTTGTCTTTAATTTCTCATATAACTTACTCGGTCTCTCTGATGCTGCAGCTGTGTGTGTCCTCTTTTGTACTCCAGGAGCTTTGTTTATTACTAAAGGAAGCATCATGGCTTATTATAGTTGGTTGTTGATGGGTTTGTCCTCTGACCCTCCCACTTCCACCTCCCAAACCAAATTTTCCAATCCTTGCAGGAAGGACTTAATTTTTATTCTTCTCTCTATTACCTGCATTCTCATACATTACATATTGCTGGCACTCAATACAATTTTGTAGGCTTGATATAAATTGAAATTGACTTAAATAGCAGCATCAGGCATTGAAGGACTCCTTGACAAAGAGGGAAAGGTCAGAGGCTTCTTGGCGGGAAATAGTCCGGTGGAAAAACTTCTATCTGGGAAGAATCATGCAGGATGCAGGGAAGTGAGGGGAAAAAACTCCTGTAGGGCTTGGTCATCTCAAGAAGTCCATAATGTAGCCCACATTAGTGGAGATAACAAGGGATATCCTATTTTCAGAGTTCTCTGGGGGATACCCACCTCTATACCCACCTCTAGTTCCTAGGGCTCTGAAGCAGCCCCTCAGGCAAGGAGGCTAAGGAGGAATACCTTTATATGGCCTTTAAATTGAGGTTCCCTATCTGTCCCTCAGAGAAGTCTGTCTGTGTCCCTGTTTTTGTCCCTCTCCCTCACCAGCCAGCCCCCCCACAACATTCCAGCCTGGGACAGGGAGAGGCCAGTAGACACAAAGCCCTCTGTGTATGGGGTGGTATGTGTCCCCCCACCCCTCCACCCAGACTATACAATGCCCCTTCTGCTCCCTGCACTCTGTCCCCCTCCCCACCACCTCTCAACTGCACATGCCAGGCTGCAATTGGTTACTGGCTGAGGACAGCCTCCTCATGCTGGGGCCCCAGGGGATTTTAAGCGGGTTCCAGGAACCCCCCGCTCAGTTCCTGGTTCCCCACTTTCTCAACCCCACAGACGCTCCGGGCCCCTGCCCCTGCCCCAGCTATGGCTCCTGGGGCTCCCTCATCCAGCCCCAGCCCTATCCTGGCTGTGCTGCTCTTCTCTTCTTTGGGTAAGTGGAGCCACCCTAGTCTGGGCGCCTCGGGACTCAGGTGTGGGGACTCAGCAGACCCCACTGCCTTCGCTGCACTCCCCACTGCAACCAAAGAAAGAGCAAGCGGGAGCAGGAGGTGACATTATATTCAGAGAGAAAAAAATACATGGTCGGGTGAGGTGGCTTACACCTGCAATCCCAGCACTTTGGGAGTCCAAGGGGGGAGAATTATTTGAGCACAGTAGTTCAAGACCAGCCTGGACAACATAGTGAGACTCCATCCATAAAATAAAAACTAATTAGATATAAAGTTTTATATAGAGTTATATATGAAAAACAAGAAAAAATATGCATTTAGAGGGAGGCAATAGAGGTATTCTCTGAAAAGAAAGGGTAAAAGAGATTGTAGCAAGGGTAAA